AAAAAAAAAAAAAAAAAAAAAAAAAAAAAAAAAAAAAAAAAAAAAAAAAAAAAAAAAAAAACGACTTACCGATTCTGCGGAAAGCAGACATGGGCTCATTTATTTTCGGGGAGATAATCCTCTTGACGATATCCGCCGTAAGCAGCGCCGTGTGTGTTACCTGCACAATGTCAGTCTTGTCAGTCTTGTCAGATGACAACGGAATGGTGGCCATAGGCATAAGAGCCAACAAAACTTACAAAATAGAGAATGGAACGGCGCTCCTTGCAGTCCTCTTTTTTTTTTTTTCTTTCTTTCGAAATGGACGATCGCCTCGAGATGATATTGTCTTGTTCTTGAGCTGACTTGCCCCAGGTAAATTACTGAATACAGTGAATAGTAAATATAGTAAATCAGTGTTATTTTCACTCGTCTGATTCCAGATCTATGGACTCTAACTCAGGTCTGCATTCCAACAGTTCACGGGGGGCTTGTAGTCTTCTTGTACCTTATGAAATTCTTCAGAAATGGACGATCGCCTCGAGACGATATCATCTTGTTCTTGAGCTGACTTGCCCCAGGTGAATTACTAAATTCACTGTTATTTTCACTCATCTGATTCCAGATGAATTTATTCTAATTCAGGTCTGCATTCCAACAGTTCAGGGGGGGCTTGTAGTCTTCTTGTGCCTCATAAAATTCTTCAGACAAAGTTTATAAAGGATTCTTGAATCAAAAAAAAAAAAAAAGGATTGTTCAATTGGTTAGTATTAACTTAGTAGTTACTCATGACTTAGTAGTTACTCATAGGGCGTGGCTGCACTACTCCGGAAATGCACAAAAGACAAAACACATGGCAACGTATATTTCCTTATTCTAGGGGAAGATTCTGCGAGGCTATGCCCGCTTAGCCCTACGGGCCTTATTTGCAACAAGGTCGGCCGCCCTAAGTGAAGGCAGGCACGACAGGCCCTCAGGGCCTCGTTTTCAGGGTACCCCCGCAAATGGGGAAATTCAGGCAGTTGCACAGCATCAGTTGGTTGAATGAACTCAGGCCCTGGGCCGCCCGTGTGAATGAATGWARRSCAGGCCCTGGGCTGGGTACGGGTACCGGGCCAAGCACAGGCCGAAAGCAGTTGGGCACATGCAACTACTTCAGGCCCAATGCCTGCATTCCTCCGGGCTGGGCCTCAGGCTACCGGGGCCTACTGGAAGCTTCTTGGACTGGACGCAGGCAGGCCACGGGGATATAGGGAAGGGCCTGCCTCCTCATTTGACATTCGGGTGCTGGCTGCATGCGGCGACAGCGCTGCTGCGCTATTTGCTGGCTGGCGCCCTCGCACTCACGGGCGAGTGTGGAAGAAGCAGGCAGCCAT